TTTCCATTTTCACTGCATCACTTCTAATGTGAAACATGGGAACCAGATTTGCCCTGTCTGCCGAGCAAAATGGAAAGAAGTTCCTTTTCAGAGTCCTACTTCTAATATGCCCCATGACTTGCCTAGAATTAACCTTGTTGCTGCTCGAGATGAAGGCTGGCCAACTGCCGTACGGAGGCTTCCTTCTCCTCAAGGTGATGCTGCTCGGCCGATTTCTTCACTTTATCACGTTAATGAACCTGCTATTTTTGATGATGATGAAGCCCTGGATCAACAAACTTCAATTACCCATCATAAAGATGAAACTGACCATGATAAGATAAATACAGTGGAGATCAAAACATTTCCTGAGGTTTCAGCTGTTCCAAAATCGGCCTCTCATGATGCCTTTGCTGTATTAATCCATCTCAAAGCTCCTCATTCAGGGAGAAAACCGCATATTGGACAAAATGTTGAATCATCACCTCCGGATGAGAATACTCGAGCCTCAGTTGATCTTGTTACAGTTCTTGATGTGAGTGGTAGCATGGCAGGTACTAAACTAGCGTTGCTAAAACGTGCTATGGGTTTTGTCATTCAGAACCTTGGTCCATCAGACCGGCTGTCTGTCATTGCCTTCTCCTCCACAGCACGTCGCATCTTCCCTCTTCGGTTGATGACTGAGACTGGACGACAGCAGGCATTGCAGGCTGTTAATTCCTTGGTTTCAAATGGGGGCACAAACATTGCTGAAGGCCTGAGAAAAGGTGCCAAGGTGTTTGCTGATCGCAAATGGAAGAACTCCGTTAGCAGCATCATATTACTCTCTGATGGCCAGGATACATATACAGTCAATAGCAGGCCTAATACTGGAACAGATTACCAGTCACTTGTTCCAAACTCCATTCATCGAAATAATGGTGTTGGCATGCAGATTCCAGTGCATGCATTTGGGTTTGGCTCTGATCATGATGCCACTTCAATGCATTCGATCTCAGAGATATCTGGGGGTACATTTTCTTTTATCGAAGCTGAGGATGTGATCCAGGATGCATTTGCACAATGTATCGGAGGACTCTTGAGTGTGGTGGTACAAGAATTACAAGTGGAAGTGGGGTGTGTTCATCCTCATTTACAACTTAGTTCTGTGAAAGCAGGAAGCTACCAAACAAGCTTGATGGCGAATGCAAGACTGGCTACTATCAGTGTGGGAGATTTGTATGCGGAAGAGGAAAGAGACTTTTTGGTGACTGTTAATGTTCCAGTTGTTGAATCAACTGATGAGATGCCTCTGTTGATTGTGAGAGGTCTTTACCGAGATCCCATAACAAAAGAAATGGTGGCTTTGGAAGAAAACATTGAAGTTAAAATTCAGAGACCTGACATCGCAGGAGACCTAGTTGTGTCAATAGAGGTAGACAGACAGCGAAACAGGCTTCAGGCTGCTGAGGCCATGGCTGAGGCTAGAGTTGCAGCTGAACGCGGTGATTTGTCTAGTGCAGTTTCAGTCCTGGATAACTGTCACAAGGCATTGTCTGAAACCATTTCTGCTCAAGCTGCAGATAGATTATGTGTTGCTCTTTCTGCAGAGTTGAAGGAGATGCAGGAGAGGATGGCTAATCAACGTGTTTATGAGCAGTCTGGAAGGGCCTATGTTCTGTCAGGATTGAGTTCACATTCATGGCAGAGGGCAACCGCACGTGGTGATTCCACAGACAGCTCTAGCCTTGTGCAAGCATACCAAACTCCTTCAATGGTTGACATGGTGACGCGCTCCCAGACCATGGTTTTTGGAGCTCCGCAAAATAAACGAGTTCTCAGGCCTGCAAAATCATTTCCTGATAGACAGAGAAGACAATAGGAATGAAAAACTATGTTTGGGAAATACTATTTGGCCTATACTTATACTTTCTGAGGAAACCTTCATGTTTCTTCGTATCTTAAGCTACCCTTTTGTTTTTGGTTTTGTGAAGGTGGGGTATAATGGAAAGGAAGGAGTTTTAGGTGGATAAAATTCCTGATTTTGCCAATATGAAAAAGTGTAAATGCATAGGCTGGAAAAGGGGCTCTGCAGAGAATGAATGGCGAAAAAGGATGCACAGGTTGAATATTTCAGTGTGATTCCGAGTGATGTACATAACCTATTGTTTTTCAGTTGAATTGTGCGGGTGAATTTCATCACTGGATTATATACATATGGTATAATATATGTGCTTCTGATTCTTTTCATCAGTGGTGATCTTCTTTACTATGCTTTTCCTTAATTTTATGTCCCTTTAGTTTGCATGCTTTCATTTTATATTATTATAGTTCTTTTAAAATTCAAGAACCACCATTTCTGGATTCTAATCGACCAATATTCTGGCAACAATGAAGGAGAACTTGCATTCTTCTCTAAAACGCCTTTGTTCAAGATGAAATATGTAGGATTCTGAACATATTTTAATATAAGCAAGACATTATTGTGATATGAGAGAGGACGACATTTCAAAATCTATTGGTGCCACTTTTAGAATCTAATCTTTCAAAACATATATTGTTCTTTAAAAAAGCAAAAATTCTAACTTTTATATAAAACATATATATTTGAACAAATGAAAGAATTCCTCGTGTTTTATACCCACCACTTGTTTCCTTTACTAGAACATGTTGAATTTCATTGTCTAACGTCACCATTCAAGCTTAACTCATGAGTTCATTCTCACTTGTTTTCAACGTTCAATCTAAACTTACATCAAGTTATCAAGTTTCATATATTTTACTTATCTTCATTCACTACATGAAATCATGTTCCTTTTCTTAAAAAGACACCACTCAAACCTTATTTTTTTCCTCCAAAATTCAAATCCTATATTATATTCCCACTCTCTCCCACGTTCTATAGGTTTTCCGTTTTGACCTGCTTTTTATATGACATGGGCCAGAAAAGTAAAACTCCACCTACTCATTTTCCGATCTTTCATTGCAAACCTAAACATATAATGATATGGAGACGTATGGACACTACGTGATTGGATATACCTCGTAATGTGAGTCATGAGTCACGTGATTGTCATACCAATCTACGTAATAAATTTTCTTTGATGCAGATAATTAATCTGTTTAATCGAAGATTAGAACAGCTACGATGTTGGGGTTAGATATTTAATTTGTAATAAAGTGAGATTAATATGATATAGAAAATTAAAATACTGGTTCTATGTCCTTAAATATAAAAAATTTCATTTAACTATTACAGTGAATTTATTGCATGTGTATGACAAAAACTTGGCAGGACCACGTGTTTGATAAAGTAAGCAATGGTTGCCACCTATGCACTTGCTTCTCTCTAGCTATGGAGCTACCTTCGGGCACTTCATCAATCTCTTCTTCTCTGTGACTTCATTATAAGCCCTTCGACACTCTCAAAGTCCTTCCTATTCTTCACCAAAACTTGCACTCAAATTCTCATTTCCCCAACATTGCATGTTTCACAGTTAGCAGATCTAAGGCTTTGAGGTATGTACTGTGGTGAGTCCTAGTTTTTTTTTTTCAAAAAATATAGATGGTGTTATTATTCTCGTACGTAGTTGTACCTAAAGACGGTGGCATTGTTGTTTGGTTTGGCACATCAACCCCACCAAATTAAGGGAAAAAGTTAAGAGGGTATGTTTATTAGTGTAGGACATGATTGATTAAGGATGCTTGAAAGCATAATTTGATGGCATTTTTGGATTAACATGCTTTCCAATAACGATCTCAGAGTCACCACCGCTGATTAAGATTGTTCTTGAGGAATGCAATGCTCATTTTTCTGATTGATTTCTGTGCTGACATCTCTCTCCTTCACGATTGACACTGACCCCACAAACGACAAAGCAACATGTCACTTGGGGCCCACACTTTAGATCAAAACAACTCAGCGTTGAATTTCTTCTTTACGGGATGAAGTACATTTTAACCATATGTAGATAGCTCCATGTCTTTCAAGCTAAGTTATGTTATATGATATGTATAGAAACAGTCATGAACCAGTGGACAAACAGTATAATTATTTTAATTAAACCTATTCATTTCTCATCTGGGTTCTCTCACATTTTCACTGGTAACTGTTAAATTACTAATTAACATTTATTGATTAAAAGGTTGTGGTTTTGGTTTACATATACAAGTAGTAGAAACTGAGTTTAAAAAGATCTTGTTGTAGCCGTTATTAATGTGTGATCTGTATTCTGTAACATTTTCAATGGCATCTTAATCATACATTTATTGATTAAAATTTATTAAGAGAGAGACGTTCAAAGTTTAGTGGTTTTTAATAAATTTAACTGAGTTCAAAGAAGTCTTCGACTACTACCACAGAATATTACTAACGGTTCTCTTGTAACATGAAGTTATGGTATGCTTTATTTATCTAAATCCTTTAAACTGTGTATACCGTCAGTGTTTTTTCATTGTCTCACGTCTTTTCATTCAAGAAATGACAAAGCAGTACTTTATCTTTTGGTCGTTAGCTACACCCTATTGTTCTATTCTTTTGAAGTAAGTAAAATTTGGTGCTCCAAAGTTGAAACTAACTTATTCCACTTCGTTTTTCATGTTTGTGATAAAAGGATATACTTGACCCTAAATTTTTATTTATTTTTAAATAAAGTACAGATTCTGTTACGACTACAAGACAATTCTGTAAATTCAGTGGGTCAGATAGTTCATACGAAGGAAGAATTGATCAGGGAATGGGTGAGAAACCAGCTGAGCTGTGAGGTGGTTTTATTTTGGATAAATGCAAGTAAATTTGGAAGGGAGGTTGAAGTGTTGTTTTCAGTTAGCAAAGGGTTATTTTCAAAGAGGTGGAGGATTAGATGGTTCCCTTTTTAAGTTTCAATTGAATAAATTCATATCTAGATGTTTATGTTGTTTTTGTAGAATAGACTCATTTGGATAGGTCTCTATCCTCCATATCTGTTTACCATTTGTGTGATTGATTTTCTTCTGATTGCCCTTTATTGTTCTCCAATAATGAAACTTGGAGGTTGGTGACTAGGGTTCTCATTACTCTATTTTACTTCTGTTTTTTCCTTGTTTCAGTTTAGTGGAATAGTTTAGTTTCTTTCCAGAACAGAGAAAATGTGCATAATTTGAGGGGAAATTACAAAACCTTGCAAACCCTCCTAGCTATATTATGAATCTTAGTCTTTGCTTTCAAAGATGATCATTGTAGCTTTCTTTCTCTTATGCTCTGACTTTCTTTGCACCAAAACCCTCTTCTCCTATCTCCAAAACTCAAAAGCCTTGCAGAATTGTGGGTAAAAACCGTGATGGTTTCTTGTGTTGTGGTACATTCCATTTGTAGACTTTCGAGGCTGTTCTTAAGCCCTGCTTCTACCAGTTCACTACCTGTACTGATTTCTTTTTTTATGGTTTAAGATGTAACAATTCTGTCGGTCGATCTGTCTTCCAGCTAATTAACATTATTGCAACCTTTTTTGTTGACTTCCTAACTCTGCATGCAATGTTTTTAAGTCAATAACCTCCCCACGGCCATAGTTTCAGTATATGGTACTGAGGGAGAATAACCTTGACTCTGATGTTTTGTTGGCAAACCCAGCATTTGTTCCTTCCTACCCTTGTTACCTCCATTGCATACATTGCTGTGAAATTAGGTCAGGAAACGAGATTTCATATCCCCTTATTGAGAATGAAATGATTGACATCCATTTCCTTGCTGTAGCACAGGGTAGAAACTGAAAAATGGGTGTGCTGTTGGCTCTCTTGATTTTTTTGTGTGAAGCTTGTAATTTTTGGATTAGTTTAAGAGGTGGATCATTTTTCCATTTTGCTTCCACAGATGCAGATTGGACTCAGAATATTAGAAGACTAAGCCTGTTCTTAATACTGGTTTAACATTTGATGCTATTTTCTTTCTCTTTTTCAACTGTGATCATTAAAATGGCATAGTTATTTCAATACAGAGATTAAGTCATAATTAAGTTTTGTTAGTTGCTTCAGTTTCATGTTTGCTCAAGCATTTTGTAGGCATCTAAAGTAATTTTTTTTACTTTCTTTTACTTGCAGTGTATGGGTTGGAATAAATGAAGCCACAGCTCAAAATTGCTCTTGCTCTAGTTATTAGCTTGCTTTGGATTCAGAGCTCATTTTGTGGTTAGTATAGCAATTTAGAAAATGTTATGTATTTGGCTCTCCAATTGTTTTTAGAGCTTAGCTCAGAAATTTAGGTGATTTACTGCTTCAATGAAAAACGAATCCTATGGACACTTCGGGTAGTATATACATTCAGTTTGCTCTGTATTTTAGCACTAGTTATTTCACAAATTACGAAAAAAATATTAATTTGTCTTTTTGATTTTGTGAGTAGTATAGCATAGCTTACCTTGAATATTGATATTTAGGTTCTTTCTGCATAAATAAAGAAAAAAGGAAAATAGCTGTATTTGATAAACGGGGACATTACATGGACTTATTCCTGCAACGTGAGATAATTGATAATTCATAATTAGTTTCACTTTCATGTTCTTTTAATATGGAGTTTTTTGAGTTTCTCTGTTCCATATTTTACATGTTTCATCTTAGTGATAAATAAAATCCAAAAGAGCCAAAAATACTTTTTTTTGCCTTCTATTGTTCTTTACAGATGAAGCTTCTGATAACCTAAACAAGTGGAGATGTAGATGTTCTTTTGAAGGGAATCGGAGTTTCTCTCTGGCTAATTGTTCTAAGTCCTGTGATTGCCACTCAGGTATGCGATTAATATTTTAGTGGAATGAAGACCGATAGCCTCCTGCTGCATATTTTTAGGAACCTACAAGCAAGACAGCTGAGAAAAGAAAGAAAGAAGATCTGCAAACTTTGATTACATTTTAATAAAGAAATCAATAATTCTATTTCACAACAGAGCTGGTGCTCAGTTTTCCAATACAATCAAAATTCAGAATGAATTTTTTTCTACTCCCTTCTAAGCTAACCACCTAACCAATTCTTTAAGGAACTGCTCTTAGCCAACTCAAGCTCATTCTAAACCGCTCTGATTACCTTGCTTTGTTTTCCTTTATTACTATGTCCCATCAGTTTTTACCCTTCTTTTCACCTATTATATTCTTACCCTTTATTATTTAGCTTGATCTTTGACTTTGGGTATGATTAGCAGATGCATTTTTGAAAAAAATTCCTGGTATAGTGAATTAACCGAGATTTATACAAGGTGCTTTTGTAATAAATTTCAAATTATATTTGTTGATAGCAGAACACCCTGTAGAGTGGCAAAAACTCATTGGATATTAGTAGGTGTAGGTTAACTTTGATCCTCCAAATGTTTCATTGTAGAATTCATATTAAATGTTCACACTAGCATAAAGAAATTTTGGAGCTAAGATGCTAAAGTACCTAATTGTGGTTGATAATCAATATACATGGTAGGAATGCAATGTATTTCTCCATTTCGGTTGAAATGGGGATACCATGATCACAGCTTCAGTATTATATGGTGACTGCTTTGCCTTCCATGTAGATGCTGAAGAAAGTGCATCCGTATGGAAATGCATATGCGATTCAAATGGGTTTCCCCAAGTGGCAGCAGATGGTCATAGCCCTAATTGTTTTAAAGCTTGCAACTGCACTTGGGGTACTTTCCCTCTATCTCCTCCTCTAGTCCTGAATTTCCATCTCTTAAATTTCACTTGCTGTTTTTTGGGGACATTTAATACAATTTTTCTATAACAGATAGCTTTTTACTTGAAGATTGGATTTGTTTCTCAACTTTTTACCTATTTTCATCATATTCTTATCCAATTGATACTGGAAAAAGATTATACCATTTCACAGAAAATTATTGATTTATTCCTATATCAAGCAACTCAGAAGCTGAATACATGATTTCTTATAGCAGATCACTTCTTACTTGAAGATGTTTTTGTTTCTCAAATTTTTGCTTCTTTTCATCGTATTTTTGAGTTAATGATATTGGAAATTTTTTACTGAATGTATGATTTCTTTATGTATTCTTCAGGAACTGTCAGCAATAGGGGAGGTTCAAAGAAACGTGTTTCCATCAAGATTGTTGTAGTTATCCTATTAATATGTGTTATATGCACAACCATGGCGTTTCTTGTCTCACTCTTATGCCATGTATACAGAAGGGACAGATGTACTATTCAATCACCCATATTCTCAACATATAAGGAAACAAGTAGTGGTAGTTCCACCAACTTAATTAGTCATAGGTCAGGGGTTTCCTCGGTGCCAGAAGCAAAATTTGCTATAAATTCTCCAATTTGTCATATTACAGGTGAGTTGGTTTTAATTTCATGCTTCAAATGTATATCCCTTTTGAAATTTTATGAATATATATGCAACTCCGGGGATTTTCTGTTAATTTGCTATTGTTCATTGGTTCTCAATTATCATTTTTCTTTTCTGTAGGATGCTTTCAGAAAGCCTCTTTCTTATTTGGGAGCCCAAAAGAAACTTACCATGGAAATATTTTTCCATTTTCCTTAGCTGAACTGGAAAATGCCACTGAAAACTTTTCCTCTTCCAACCTGATTGGACTAGGCGGAAGCAGTTATGTATACCATGGTCGGCTGAAAGATGGTAGCAATGTGGCAGTTAAACGACTAAAAGATCAAGGAGGGCCAGAAGCAGACTCTGCATTTTTCAAGGAGGTTGTTCATAATGTTGCAATATCAGTATTCTTTGGCTTTCCATTTGAAGTTATCGCTGCACAGCATTTACATTAATTATTGATTAATCGTTTTTGTTTGCGCAGATTGAACTATTATCTAGACTTCATCATTGTCATTTGGTGCCTTTGCTCGGATACTGTTCAGAGTTAAAAGGAAAACATGTTCAGAGGTTACTTGTATTTGACTACATGGCTAATGGAAATTTGAGGGACTGTTTAGATGGAGTTTCTGGAAAACATATAGATTGGACTACTCGTGTAATGATTGCGTTAGGAGCTGCGAAGGGCTTGGAGTATCTCCATGAAGCAGCTGCTCCAAGAATTCTTCATAGAGATGTCAAATCAACTAACATTCTTCTGGATGAAAATTGGCAAGCAAAAGTATGAATCTTGTGTGTTCTGGGTTCACGGTAGTAGTAAATTGGGAATTAGATGAAATATTTTACCTGGATTTGCACATGAATACGAGTTTGGCTTATGATACAGAGCCAGTAAGATACTGAAAGCAAATAAAAAATGGTGGTTTTGGACTAGAATCCCGTAACACCTTTCTGACCGCTAAATTTTTTTTATGAATCTACTATGTTTAGGAAGTAGAGTTAGTGATTCATAGCTGGTAGTGGTCGGTTAAATCGAAAGGTATAAACCATAATCTTTTCAAATATTCAACTTGCAGATAACTGATCTTGGCATGGCTAAAAACCTGAGATCTGATGACCTCCCTAGCTGTTCAAATTCTCCAGCAAGAATGCAGGGTACATTTGGCTATTTTGCACCTGAGTATGCCATTGTTGGTAGAGCTTCTCTTGAGTCAGATGTCTTTAGTTTTGGTGTGGTTCTTCTTGAGCTTATCAGTGGTCGGCAGCCCATCCATAAATCAACTGGCAAAGAAGAAAGCCTTGTTATATGGGTATTTTAAATTATCCTCATAACTAATAACCACAACCTTGATTTTACATTTGTTCATATTAGGAAGATCTTCAATGTGCTAACTCGATGCCCATACTAGGACTTCATTTTCATGAGGATCTTTGACTTATGATAGCTTAAACTTCTTTTGTTTTTTCCATTTCAATCATTGATTCAACATGTCTTCTGCATCCCCATAATATATTTCATTTTCCATTTACAATCTGAACTAGGATGCTTCTGTTCTTGATATTGCATAGCTTAGTGAATTCAACTGCAAAAGATTATGGACAATCAGGCATTGATATATGTTTCTTAACTTCTGTTTTAGGCTACTCCTCGCTTACAGGATAGTAGGCGAGTAATAATTGAGCTGGTTGATCCACAATTAAAAGGAAATTTTCCAGAAGAAGAGGTGCAGGTGATGGCATACTTAGCAAAGGAGTGTTTGCTGCTAGACCCTGACACTCGACCAACCATGAGTGAGGTTGTTCAGATTCTTTTAAGTATTTCCCCAGGAAAATCTAGGAGGAGAAGAAACATTACAGGCAGCCTCTTTCAGGTTAATGCTGTTTTGATTCCTAATTGTGATCTTTCTAGTTTCAGGTTTCTTATTTTTCAAAGTTTTGATGTATACTTCGGTTATCTGGTTGTTACATTTGCTGGTATCATAGATCATTCTGAAGTGGCATGTAAACCGAAAAATAAACCATATCATGATATTTTCTTTCTTGATGGACGCAGGATGAAGAAAAGCAAAGGCAAGCCACACCCAGTAAATTTCCAACGCATAGTTCACTGCCAATATATCTTGATCATAATCATTCTGTTAAGAACAAAAGTAATGAAGCAGATCCAGTTTCAGCTGAGTATATGGAGAGTTTGATCATCTTGGCTGCAAAATCTGATGGCTCTTGTGTATCAGAAGAGGAAATGGTAGACCTAACTGAGCCTAGGTTTGAATCCTTTTGCATCACCTCTGGCAAAGCCCCTTGAAAACATAGCAGCTGGCAGAATTATGAGGAGTTTACGTTGTGTTTCTTGTGCATGGCAGAATGATATACTATAAGCGATTCTGCAATTAATCTGTTGTGGAGATTATCATGGTCTACACATTTTTTTCACTTTGTTTTGAAAGGAAGAGCACTAGGTGGTGTTAGATAAGCTCTGATCATATTCGTTTGTTTCTTGTACAGAAAAACATATAGGATGATACAAATTTCTGGTTTTCTTTATGTGAAAAAGAACTAAAGAAGAACCGGATGACATACACATTAAGTTAAAGGTTTTGATCATAGATTTATTTATGCTACAATTATATTTTGGTATATTTTTTAAATTATTTAACAGTGTATCGATGTGACGATAAAACATGAAACATATTGGCCCATGATAACATGAAATGTTTGTATGATTATTTGATAATAAATGATTCCAGTCTCAAATATATGAAATGGAAAAGTAAAAAAATAATGAGAAAGATGCACTGGTTATTGAAGTAAAAGATGACTCCATGATTTTCCTAGATAAATTTCTAGTATTGAATCATTACTTATCTCATAACAACCAAAATAATTTATAAAAATTGTCCTTCTCACATAATACTTTATTTTTTAATTTTTGAATTATACAATTTAAAAATTAAAAAATGACTTCTGAATTTTACAAGCTTCAAAATTATATAATCCGAAAGTTAAAAATACCTGAATTGTGCGATCCAAAAATTAAATAACTTTTAAATTATATAATCATTCTTTAAAATGTAGACAAGAAAAAGTGATTTTAATGTATAATCTAAATAAAATTGGATTATATGTTAGTGTAAATAAATTTAGCTTTTTTTTCAAGATAAACTTGAATAAATTTTACCACGAATACAAGTTTTAAAAATTTAATCTTTAAAAATAGCTTCCATTTTAGTGATAAATAAATAGAAAAATAAAAATATATTTAATCAAATTTCAGAGAACTCTTAAACATGATATGAAGGAACAGATAATTAAAATGTGCATATCTATTATTCACAAATATTTATTAAAGGTTTTTACTTAATATTTGTGTGGATTTTATGCTCGGATATCGTGGATACAAATGTTTTTCCTTTAGTACTGATGAGCATTTCCTTCAATGCACCACTGACACTTAATTATTAAGAGGTAAAATAAAGATTGAATTTTGAATCTTTGTTTTTGTTTGTGTTTATTTAAAATGTGAAATAGAAGATAGTAGCTGCTACTCAAATGGTATGATCTGTATAGTTTTTGTGAGATGAATGAATAAATAGTGTATTATGCAGAAAGCGTGTTGAATAATGTGATAATGAGTGTGCATGTGAATGATTTTATGATGAAAATAATCTTTGTGGATGGTCGGTTGAGTGTTCGTTAGAAGTTATAAACGTAGAAGTAATCATATTTTGAAGCAACTTTGACTCTTGCTAATATTAGTATCTTAGACGGATCTTTATTTTCAATCCATCACACAAAATCAAATCAAACATATACAATTAGATTCCTTTCTTCTTATATTTTAAATCCAATAATTTTTATGATCAATATTTAGTCAGTTTTTCAATAGGAGTAAAAAAATAGACTAATTTAATCAATTTAGACTCGATTGTCATTTCTCTAGAAATAAAATAGAGAAGTTTGAATTGGTTTATCGAAATAAAAAAAGTTCAAAAATCTTGATTTATATATCGACAAACTAGTAGATTGAAAGATTGGTCTCTCAATTTTTTTAAATTTTTTATTTTTAATATATATATATATATAACACATTTAATTATATAAATATCTTTTAAGTATATTTAATTATATAAATATTTTCTAAGTTTTTAATTAATCAATTAATATTTAAGATTTAAAGATTTATTAATGTCTTTAATTGTAACATCCCAAAATTATACAGTCAGCAACTATATAATAGAATATTAACATGTATTAATATGATAAAACAGTTTTACAATTTAATAGAGCAGTGGGCAGAAATGGCCGAACGGCCTTACGTATACAGACAAAATGACGAGCGTTCACTAAAGCAAAACGACGAACGGTTTACAAGACAATGACCGAACGTCCTAATATTTACAATCAGAAG